GAGGAATTTATAATAATCTTTAATCAATGGAGTGATAACCCACTATTAACTTACATAATCAACCAAATAATTTCATTGTTACTCTTTTTCTCTTTCTTTACTGTTCATTCTTTTTCCTTTTTTCTTTTTTTCTTTCTCTACCCAATATAAAGAAAAATCTCCTTCCAAAAAACCCACCATCCAAACACCCCTTACTCCTCTCTCTCTCCTTTTTCTCTCAAACCTCCCAAATCGCTGAGAGACTCTCCTCTCCTCCGATCCCTTCTTCGTCTTGGTTTATGAGGTAAATCCTTCCTCTTCACAACTATGGCGTTTCTTGATCTGTTCTTCTTAATCATGGTTAGAGATCTGTCATTTCTTTTCGAAAGATCAGTTCTTGAATCGAAATCTTTTGGCTTTCTTGATCTTGTTTGATATAATTTAGGGTTTTTTTTCTTTGTTTCTCGTGATTGTTATTCTTTGTTGGGCTAGGGTTCTTGATTTGTACATCGTTTTTACGTTTGATTTGAGTTACATGAGGGGATTTTCCATAGTTGGCTTCAGGAGTTTTTCGTTAATTTAGGAATCGCTAGTTGGATCGTTTTATTTCTTCCTGATTTCCTTGAATAAAATTATTTCTTTAGCTGGAAAAGTACCTTTTTTTGGAGTGGATTTGTAAATCATGGTTGGTGGTTACCCCAGTACTTATTTTGTATGTGGATGCAAATATATGTATAGAGAAATGGATTTGTGATATATGTGGAGGCATCTATATTGTTTTTGCACTATATTCGAGCTTAGGATTGTTCTTTTTTTCTATTTTGATCACTTTACTGATTTGCTTCAATACTTGGCCCCTGCAATCTTGGTGTGGACATCTGCAGCTCGAAGGAGAAACCCACTCTTGGGTGAGTACTACAAACAAATAGTTTTTTTGGGGGAAATTCTTTGATTTCTTGGCATATGCTTATATTGATTGAAATTGGAGCTTAAGTCTATGGAAATTGAGAAGAAAATTTGAACTTTATCACTGTTGTCTCTCCATTCCTGGTTTGTGTAGATCTGGAGTTTGCATGCATGGGTGGTTATTTTCACGTTATTTGTATGATTTTATTGAATAATTTTTCTAAACAATTAAATTTACAGTGCTTTGACTCATTAATCTCGGTTATGTTGGGACAACTGTGAGAAAACAGTGATAATTTTCAATATTAGAATTGTTTGTAAAGAAAGACATTTCTCTGAGCTTTAAGAATAAGAAGATGGCTGACTGTTGCTTATCTTGGTATTTTTGGTCTGTACAGAGATGGAAATGTCATGAATCTTTAGTTTAATCTTCTAGCAATGAACTCTTGTTTGATTTCTGATTCTCTATGCTGCACTTTAGTTTCTGCTTATAAGTCAGAGTAAGTATCTTGATTTGTTTAAGGGAAGAGTTAGTGTTTTGCAACAGTGTTGTTTTTCAAATACTAGATTTGAAGCGTCTGCTTTCACATGTGCATATGCTTTTTCAAATAGTGATTATGAGAAAGTGATTTATTTGGTTGCTGTGTACATTTAGCAATAAAGTAGAAATTGGTTATGTCATGTAATGTTTAGATTGAGGTAATTGGGCTGCTATAATGTCTAACAATACCTGCTGATATTAGAAATATTATTAAGTAGCAAATAGAAGATTTAAAATCTGAATTACATCCCTCTCTATTGTTGTCTTTCATTATTTAACTTGGTATGTGTTTCTTTATATCTGTGTGCAGTGGTACGCGGATTAAGACCCGCAAACGGAATATTGCTGCTCCCCTGGACCCTGCAGCATTTGCTGATGCAGTGGTCCAGATTTATCTGGATAATGCTGGTGATCTGGTAAATTTCATCAGCGGTGTAAATTTCAATTTCAACCCTTGTGGTTTTGGTTAAGTGTCAAAAAAACAAACCTCACGTCTGAGTTTGAATTTTACCCAAACCAAAAGTGTAACAACTGAATCTACTCTTTACAATGTGCATCTGACACCTCATATAGGTTTTCGCTTTTTTGTCCCTCTAGGTGGTTATCTTACTAACTCATCTGACCAAACATTTTCTTCATGCAGGAACTTGTTTGCAAGAACCTTGAGTCTTCAGACCTTAACTTCTCACGCTACGGTGACACTTTCTTTGAGGCAAGTTTCTTGTTTCTTGATTGAACTCTAATGTTTGGATATCTTCTATTTCAAAACAGATTTTTGAGGTTGTTCAGTTATTAGTTTTTGATAGTTTGTTGGATCTTTAAGATCATCTAGAGAGTATGATCTGCTTTAGTTATGGAGGGAAGGATATGGGATTTTTTTCCACCTCTATGGCATTATTTTAAACTTCACTGGTGGTTAATGGATTGATCTTGAGTTAAGTAGCTTGATATGGAAGCATACGAGTATGGTGACTAGAAGTTAATAACAATGAAAAATTTCTTCCTTTTTCTCTTGTAACTTGTAAGAGACTAGTTATTATGCCATTGCTTCAAATCTGCCTATTGGCTCAAGCATGAATGAGATTGTTTGGTCTTCCAAATTTCTTTTAGCCAGCAATCATGAGTATTTGCGAAAGCCTGAAGTTAATTAATCCAGTAAAAATTATGCCAAAGCAAAGTTGTGGCTGGAGTTTGGTGGCCTTATGAAGTTTTATGTATTGTGTTGTTCCAATTGCTCGCTTTCATCCTTTGTTTCTGCGAACACTGACTTATGCCAGAGTGGGATAATCTGAGTTGTTGCAATTACAGGTTGTTTTCACTGGAGGCCGTACACAACCAGGCACAACCAAACCTGATGAGGGGGAGCGCCACCCTTACTCTATAATAGACTGTGAGCCTAAGCGTGAAGTCATTCTGCCATCTGTGATCTACATACAGAAAATTTTACGTCGGAAGCCTTTCCTCATAAAGAACCTTGAAAATGTTATGCAAAGATTCTTGCAGTCATTGGAGCTTTTTGAGGAAAATGAAAGGAAGAAGCTTGCAATTTTCACAGCACTTGCTTTCTCCCAGAAACTTTCAGGGCTGCCACCAGAGACTGTGTTCCAGCCCTTGCTCAAGGATAATCTTGTTGCCAAGGGGCTAGTCCTTTCATTCATAACAGACTTCTTCAAGGAGTACCTGGTTGATAATAGCCTGGAGGATTTAATCGCAATTCTGAAGCGAGGTAAAATGGAAGACAATCTCCTGGACTTCTTTCCATCTGCAAAGAGATCTGCTGAGGGTTTTTCCGAGCATTTCACGTGAGTTTACTAGTTTTTAAATTGACTAAAACTGCAAAGGCTACACGTTTGGAATGCATGCTGTGTTTTAGAATTAATAGGTGTGGTTTCCTTTGAACATTTTGGGACTGATGCTGTGTTTAACCATGTTGATTTTCAGCAAGGAAGGGCTGACGCCCCTGGTTGAATACAATGAGAAAAAATTATTTGAGGTGAAACTGAAGGAAATGAAATCTGCTGTAACAACCCAGATATCTGAGAACACTGATATATCTGAGGTCATAGAAACTGTGAAGCAACATGTTAAAGATGCTAAATTACCTGATATTGAAGTTGTGAGGATGCTTTGGGATGTAATAATGGATGCTGTTCAGTGGTCTGGGAAGAACCAGCAGCAGAATGCTAATGCGGCTCTGCGCCAGGTCAGATTTAGCTTCTTGCCTTACTTTGCCTGTACCAATCCCGTTACTTTCCCTTCATCTGTTAAATGGGGCACTTGTAACGATGCAAAACTGAGATTACTAGTGCAGGCTAAACTAGAATTACCTTTCTAGTAGTAAAGTGATTTTGGGAACTTTAAAATGAGTATATTCCAAATAGTTATTCATGAATTTTAAGAAAAGTAATGCTGGGTTTTCTCTCGGCTTCCATTGTTCCAGGTCAAATCATGGGCAGAACTTTTAAATACCTTTTGTACCAGTGGAAAACTAGAGCTGGAACTCATATACAAAGTTCAGATGCAATGCTATGAGGATGCCAAGCTGATGAAGCTGTTCCCTGAGATCATAAGGTCTCTCTATCAGAAGGATGTGCTTGCAGAAGACACCATTCTTCTCTGGTTCCGCAAAGGAACGAACCCTAAGGGCAGGTATGCAAGTTCATATTCATGTCTGTTATCATAATGTTAAGAATTATGATGGTGGTTGAGCTTCTTAGTAATGACTCTACTTCACTTTCTTGGTTGCTCAAGTAATAAACCGTTCTATTTCTTTTTCTGGTTTAAACATTTTGTTTGTGTATTGATCATCTTAATGCATTGAAAATTGGTACAGGCAAACATTTGTCAAGGCCCTGGAACCCTTTGTGAACTGGCTGGAAGAAGCAGAAGAGGAGGAATAAGTTGGACCTTGTTGCCCTGGTTTTATTTGCTTGTATCAATTGTTGAGGTGTCCTTTGGCATAAGATATCTGAAGATGTTTGACATTTGGTGTGACATTGTGATGTGAACAAATCATTGGTGGGATTTTCACCTGCAATAATCAGTCACTTTATGCTATCATGTGCATGTTTCTTTTAGCTGTCTTTTTATTTAGTATAAAAATTTATGTTTAAATTATATCATTCTACCACCTTCGTCCATTTCTGGGACAGAGGGAGTAATTAGAAAGGATCAAATAACACCTTGCATGGAAAGGTCTGGAAAATCAAAAATACCCACGGAAGCAGGACTTTCCATGAAGAATGATTTCTTGGAAAAGTTGTTCGCCAAACAATACTTGACAATTGCGATTCTTTTTCTTCACTTTTAAGACGTAATTCGAATTAAATAAAAACAGAGTAATTTTACTTGAATGGGGTGATATAATAATTAAAAGTTTAAAATTTCATGTTGAAAATCTTTAAGGTTCAATTTTAAGTTGCGTGAGGAAAAATTTGAGAATAAAAAATAATTATATCTCTTTTTATACAACTTGTAATGGCGCTTTTTATGCAACTTGTAATCGATGCATCAAAAAAAAAAAAAGAAAAACACTCACTGAAAAACTTTAGTGATTTAAGTTCTTGTACGAAATTAAAATTTATATTCTGTAACTTAGAGATTCACCAAAATTTGATTGAAAGATGTGATTCAGTTGTTGTACTTAACTGAATTTTGTGGTTGCGGGTTCTCCTGCACTGCCTACAGAAGTTTGGCAAAGAAAAAGGATATTCAATCCAGCAACCAACTCTTGTCTCAGCAAACAACCATTGGATATTTACTCATTTAATAAAATTGAGTCTACGTATCATAAGTATGCAATGGCCATGAGGGGGTGTCTGAAGTGGTAAACGGCTCAAGACATCTTATTAGAGATTTTGAGTTCAAATCTTAAGATAAAAGAAAAGAAAATTATCCTTTGTTATATTTATATAGCACATTAATTGATGAAAAATTTAAAAAAAAAAAAAAAAAACCATGGGTATGCAACTTTGGCCCTTTTGAAAAGATTTAGCATTATATATTACAAAAACCGAAAACAAGCATATCACCAAATCACCAAAATGATGTTCAGTATCAACTAGTTTCTCAAGATTTTCATATTTTAATTCACCTTAGACAAGGCCTTGATATTCACCATCTGTATGGTCTGACAGAAACTAAATTGATTTGAGAAACAACAGGAAACTCGTACAGAAAATCGCTGCCACTCAAATTCTACAGTAATATACAATATGTCTAATCGAGAATAGGAATAGATGAATGGATAGGATTATGAAATCACCTGCCCTATCCCAAAATATTATGAAGCATAGGTTAAGTAGCCTTTTCTGGCAGGTTCTCTGCGTCAGCCACCATACTTGTGCTTGTTGATGTGGTATGATAGCTGGTATCAGCTGCTCTTGTAGGTTGATCACTCATAGAGCTTGTTGTGTCATCAAATTTCCAGCCAGTCAAGTATCCAGGCTTTGAAGTTACTCTGCTCACTTCAGTATCTCCAGAAAGCATTGCCACCACACGAGACATTGATGGCCTTTGCATTGGAATTGTCTGAGTGCACAAAAGGGCTACTCCTATGAAATTTTTCACTTCTTCTTCGTCAAATTCTAATATATTAGAGTCAAGTAGTTCAACTTCACGGTTGTTTTCATATAGGTGCCAAGCCTAAAAGGCAGAATGGAAATAACACATTATGGTGGAATAGGGATGGATAAATTGCACTGTAAATAGAAAGTAGACATACAACTAAAATCAAGAAGCAAAGGAATAAAGGTATAAAATACATTTTAAGTTGTTTTTCTTCCCTGACACTTTAAGTTGGTTGAAATTCAAATGACTATACATTAACATTCTAACTGATCTTATATAGGATTTGGATGAATGTTCTTAGTAGTTTGATAAACAGTTATTCCAACTTATTCCTATGGTACATAGATTGGGGTAATGAAACCTGCCGAAAGTAAAATAGAAAACGGTGTGAATGCTTAGGGGAAGATTACCCCGTTAAAGAATGTTTCCAGAATTTAAATATTACTATGCACTGTATATTTAACCATACTTCTCGCTAGAAAGCATACATTCGTGTTCTTCTAGCATCATGGCATGAAAATTAATACAAATAAATGCACTTTCGAAAGTATGGGTGTAGTTAAGTTATAATATGGCACTTCCGGTAGCAATTGAATATTTTAATAGATCAACGTTTGCCGAAAGAAAGAAGGATCAAATTGAAAATCGGTAAAAGAAAGATATATTTCATACCCATTCAAGCAGATACATCTTCTCTCCCTCCAAGCTCGAGTCAGAATTAGGTCTCCCACTGACAACTTCTAAAGCCACAACACCAAAGGCAAACACGTCAGTCTTCTCAGTAAGGTGTCCACGCATTGCATACTCTGGTGCAAGATACCCACTACATAAGTAGCAACAGAGAGTCTATTAGTCATACCTTAGAGGAATAAAACAACATGAAAATTAATGGCCCTAAAAAAAAAAAAAAGAAGAAGAAGAAAGAAAGAAAATGAACTTGTTGAGAAGAATTAATGATGTCAAACTTGAAAATTATACATTGTCCCGGCGACACGGGTGCTTATGTGGGTCTTTGTATCATCATAAAGTTTCGCTAGACCGAAATCAGAAATCTTGGGGATCAGACCAGAATCCAGCAAAATATTACTGGCCTTTACATCTCTGTGTACAATTCGAAGCCTTGACTCTTCATGAAGATAAGCCAGACCCCTAGCTACTCCCAAGCATATATCATAACGTGTTTGCCAGTTCAGGTTCAAACTTCCTTTTCCTGCTCAATTAAAGCCGTAAGTAATTCTATGTTATGTTTCCATACTAGAAAGAAAAACATTTCGTTGCATTGCAACATTTTCATACCAAATAGTGCCTGATCTAGGCTCTTGTTTTCAAGATACTCATAAACAAGCAGGCGTTGATTTGCTTCAATGCAGCAACCATGTAGTTTGACAAGGTTTCGATGCTGCACAGCAGATATAGTAGCTATTTCTGTAACAAACTGGCTCTTGCCTTGGCGTGATGCCACAGACAATTGCTTCACTGCAATTATTCTCCCATCATTAAGTTTTC